CCTGGAGGAACTACCTGGAGGAACTACCTGGAGGAACTACCTGGAGGAACTACCTGGAGGAACTGCCTAGAGGAACTGCCTGGAGGAACTGCCTGGAGGAACTGCCTGGAGGAACTACCTGGAGGAACTACCTGGAGGCCATCAGAGACTAAACGCTTAGTCTCAGACGGTTGCCATAGAGATAAAATTATTTTTCAAACATGGATGAAATTATCAGAGCAAAGCTCCAGGTATGTTTTGATGAGAGAATAACATTATTATTCTGTTACAGAAAAACACTTTGTCTGTCTTCATCGATAGTCGTGCTAACTAACCTTAGCATTCATGACTGGAGAGTAGTGATTGACAGCACTAAGCCCCGCCTCCTGGCTCTGATTGATTGTTTCTAATTAGCACTGGGAGAATTCATCGAAGCTCCATTTTTATAGAGATTATCTGTCTCTTATTTTACTGTCATAACATAAAGAGATTCAACAAATAATAAAAAAATATTTTTTATTAAAGTTACGAGCTGCAGCTTTAAAGAGCATTGTAATTTATGAAAACACAACAAATGTACGTAAACCTCTTTTTTGAAGAAATTTAAAAATTGTCTCTCGTTATTTAGACAATTAGCATAAAAAATATAATTTTGGTTCTTCTGTCTGACCAAAAAGAAAACGCTGTGTATTTTCATACATGTAAGCATGTAAAGGGAAAACATTTGGGAAACATTTGAACAACAAGATGATCGGTCGCAGTGACACAGCACAGTTATTCTTACAATCCGCTCTCTGCTTATGATTCCTACCAGGAAGGGCCACAGGCAGAGCAGATAGTGAGTGGTGGTGAGGAAGAGGAGGAGCAGGATGAGGGAGAGAGAGGGCGGCTCTACACGCACACACACACACACACACACACAAACACACACACACACACACACAGTTGATCACAACATCGCCCGGCGCTCCTCGTCACATAACCTGCATGCACATCAGGTCGGCCGGCAGTCTGAGAGCGGCGTGCAGCTGACGATGCCTTCCTCTGCGTGGCTGTGGGCGGCTTCTGCGGTGGCACTGACCGGTAAAGAGTTTGTCTTCTTTCCTGCTGCTGCTGCTGCTGCTGCAACGTTAGAGCGTCTAAAACAGGTTCACAGTTTTAGAAAAATGTTGAGTTGTCTTGCAGAATTGCAGTTTGATTTCTCTTGATCTGACTTTTTGGGCTCATGAATCTTCAGCTTTGACTCGTTGCCTGCACAGATGAAAACCTCTACGCACTGCAAATCTGGAACGAACTTCCAGAAAACTGCAGAATAGCTGAAACATTGAGCTCCCGTAAATCAACGCTAAGAATACTTTTGTTGAGAGCTGCTTTTGAGCCACAATCAGTGGAGTATTTATTGATGTATTTGATGTGTATTGATGATTTTGATGATGAAATTCAACTAAATGTAATGTTTGTTTCTGGTTTCTCAATTGCCAACTTTTTATTTTGTGTTTTTATGATGTAAAGCACTCATTGTTGCTAAAATCTGCTTGATTGATTGAGATGTTTAAAAGACACAATTCAGCAGAGTAAGTTACAACATTTGTAACTTTTTCTGTCTTTTTTCTCCGTCTTCATGTTCTTGCAGTTCATCTTTTCGAGCCGCTGCGTCTGAACAAATAGAAAATTGTTTGTTGTTTTGCAGAATTGTACTTTGATTTCCATTTATTCTGACTTTTTGTGCCTGTAAATTTTCAGCTTTGACTCATTGTCTGCACAGAAACAAACCTCTCTGCACTACAAATCTGGAACAAACTTCCAGAAAACTGTAAAACAGCTGAAACACTGACTTCCTTTAAGTCGATGCTGATCTAGTTGTGTGGAGCTGCTTTTGAGTCAGGATCTGTAATTGTCTCTTTGCTCTGTTTGCATGTACTTTCAGGCCATCTTTTCTGCGCCGCAGCGTATGAACGAACCGAGAGGAACTGCTCTCTGACTCCACCGGTGAGACTCAGCAATAAACAATAAACTACAGTTTTCCATAAAACCATCAGCAGTTACAACTTTGCCCTCAGTGGATTCACCCAGCGTTAATGATTACAGAGGATGATAGAGAAGGAGATAATTCAGCAGCTTGCTGGGTTTAATGAAATGTGGAAGTTTCCTCCTTGCTTTGTGAGCGCCTCATCGTTCTTCCTGTCGGTTTGTTGCAGTATCTCCCCAGCACAGCAGTAAATACTTCTATCCAGCTGTGGGAGCTGCGAGCCCAAATGCTGCCCCTGAATGTCTCTGCCTACATCATTCCTGGCACTGATGCTCACCTGGTACATCTGCCGGCTGTCATAATTAATCCATCTGGATTTAAAATCCTTGTTTGCATTTGTGTGGTTGTAATTTGCAGCTTGTTTTTTTTGGGGGGGGTTTTCTGCCAGAGTGAATACATTGCCCCACGTGACGCCAGGATGGCCTATATGACTGGTTTTACAGGCTCTGCAGGTACAATCCTCCTCCTCCTCCTCTTCATCCTCCTCCACATCTGCTCTGCTTTCATCCCACATCCTCACCAACTCGTCGTTCATTTTGTTTTCAGCGCTTTCACCCGCTGTTTAATTGCGTCCTCTCATTCATGGTGACTGTCCTCGCAGAGCAACCTGACTGCTGATTTATCAGGCCCATAAGAGCAGCTGGTCATAGAAGAGACTTTTACTAATTTGATTTATATGGAAAGAAATGACAGTAAACCAGGACTGCAAGTAACGACTATTTTAGTAATCAATTAATCGATTATTCTGACAATTAATTGATTAATCAAATTAAAACATTGGCAAATTCTGCATATTTTTCCTACACGTGCAAATAAATAACTAATTTGATTACTTTTTAAATAAGAAAATAAACATTTTATTGCCTAAAATACAATAACAGCTTTGCTTTAGTGAATGCTTGATCATTTGTAGCAAAGGTTGCATCAACATCAACAACTTTCTGCTTCACATCAATACAGTGAAGGGCTGATCTGGTGATTCATTTTCATTTGAATTGATTAATAATTGGATAACAACAGATGCTTAATAAGATTTTTGAACCAGGTGAAGCTAAACCTGCCACTTCAGGTCTTCTGGGTAGAAGATATTTACAGACAGAGATGTATTTTTTAACCTAAATGTAAAATGGAGATATTTTTGTACAGTTTTGGCTTAATTACTCCTCTGAATGTATGTTGTTAATTTAGTAAATTGCCTTTTTTGAGTCTGTATAGTTACGTTAACCATTAATCAATTACTAAATCAGTTAGCCATTATTTAAATAATTGATTAATCGTGATTAATTCAATTAATCGTATCAGGCCTACAGTAAATTGAGGTTTAAACCTGAACATGCCGCTGCAAAGCTGTAAAAAATGTGGGGAAATGAGTCTATTCAGCTGCTGGTACCGAATTAAATGTGATCTCACCACTTTATTTGGTACATCTGTTCTGTTGCTTTTTATCACAAATTGCAGCCCGGTTGTTGGTGCCAGATGGGCTTGTTTGAATATGTCACAATCTGCTGATATAATACCAGGGTAATTTAAAGCACAACCATCCCTCAGACGTACAGAAAAATGCCTGAAATAAAGAAAATATCCGGTGAGAGGCGGTTATTTGGACAAAAATGCCTTGTTGACATTCAATGTCAAAGGAGAATGAGCTGAAAGTTAGTTAGAAAGGAAACATGAGGCTCGTTGGAACTGCAGCTTGTAAAAACGTTGCCTGTTTTAATGGGCTTTGATTTTTGTTGCAGCAGTCAGATGGCAGAGTCAAAATTTGGCATAAACAACAAGCGTGTTTTTATCTCTCCATGTGTCAATAAATCAGAATCAGGGTTTTTGTAATGTTCTGGGGCTTCAAGTTCAATTGTGGATCAAAATTACAACATGTGTTACATTTTCAGCTGGTGTTGTTCGCAGAGTTGGGTGGTAACTACTTACATTAAACATTACGGTCTGCTTGGCGTTTCACCACAAGTTCAGAGTTCAGCTGGTGATAAAACATGGGATTTGGGTTGTGGCTTTACGATAATCAATTCTGCAACAACTTAGTGAAGCTGTCATGTCAACTTGGATAAATGTTTCCAACATTTTCTAAAAGATTTAATGCAGTGAAGGTAAACTGAGGATCCAACCTGGTACTAGTAAGTTCTACTTCATAAAGTTGGAAAATGAAAACCATACTTCCTTTCTATGTTTTTCAGGCACATTTTTAAAAATCATATTTTGTTTAGAGTTTTTCTATGAGCTTTGACTGTTTTTTTTTTTTCAGCCATTTCCAATTAGTTTCTTTCCTAAGCCGTGTAACATTCGTCAATACGGCATAAAAAAGTAATTTAACCACTGTCATCTCTGCACATCAATTTGGACTTGCCGCCTGTTACAAAAACAGTTTTCCATTTCTTTTGCTAATCCCTTGCAAAAGCCCAAAGATGGCACAGTTTAAAGGAAACTTATTATGTAAAATTCATATTTTGCAAAACAGCTCAAGGGCTTAAAAACACCACCCAGCTGTTTTTGGCAGGAAGTTAATGTTTTTTGGGTATCTAGAAAACAAGCTGTTTCAAAAGCCTCCCCATTGTTGAGTCATAATCAGTGGGCACTGCGTTGTTACCTAGCAACAGCAGCCCAACCTAGACCGTCACCTAGCAACCCAAGCTGAGTTCCAGCACATTTGGTCAGCTAGTTTTACCGCTGTATGTGCTGTACAATGGCTGCAGGAAAAAACAAGAGTTTTGTTGTTGACTTACCATTCAGAAACCACTTGCTACATTATTGTTGGTTGTTCAGGAGGCTTTACTGATGCTTTTCAAAGATATATGGTTATATAATTGCACATCTGTTTGCAGGTATATTCATATGCGAGTGTAAAAGTTTAATTAGGGGCGTGGCCAGCCGCTGCTAATTTGGATTTAAAGTGACAGAGATGCTAAAACTGCTCAAAATAGTCAGAACTGACCAAACTAAAATCTCATTATTTAGGAATAATTTTGTCCAAAAAATGTGATGCGTTGTGATGCCCATAGGCCTATCATAACCCGTTCAAGGAGGCATCATATCACCTCTAAAGGCCAGAAAATTGCAGGCAGAACAGTTCAAGTATCTTGATGTCGTGTTTGACACAAAAGTGAACCGTCTTGAAGAATTTTGAATGAATGGAGGGATAATTAATACCACTTCAAGAAGATCTGGGACCTGGTAACTTACATTGAAAGAGCTTAACGATGGCTTTGCACATACAGTGTAAAGTCTGATATTTATAGTTTTAGGTAATCAAACACTGACCACCTCATAGTGCAGCTGTTGCCCCTCTTTTTTCCAGGCACTGCCGTTGTCACTCAGACCAAGGCGGCTCTGTGGACAGACAGCCGCTACTGGGTCCAAGCTGAGAGACAGATGGACTGCAACTGGGAGCTGCAGAAAGACGGTATGGGTGACTGTACCGTGCCTCGCTGTCATGGCAGCGCTGCACACATGCATTCCTTTTAAATTGTTGTGGTGCGTTTTTTATTTATCTTTTCAAAAATAGCTTTTTAAAGACTCAACATGTCATTACGGGGGTTTATAATGAAGAACTTCCCATAAACAAAGCTTGTTTTCTCATGCAACATTGCTTTCTCCACATTTTATGGTGTTTTTCAAAAAAATTATCCAAGAGGAAATATTTAATCATTGTTTCTTAGTTGTTGTTTTTCAAGAGGATAACGCCCTTGAAATTCACAGCTTTTTATATTTAAATAAACAAGTTATGATTAAAGTAATAATGGAAACATGAATCACCGATTTTCCATTATCTGTGCCACAATTAATGGTCGCTGTAGTCAGACATCCATCAACCTAAAACTGAAATAAAACTAAAAGTCCTAGATAAATGTTATTAAACATTTGCTGGAAACTTAAATTTGACAATTAGACAACTCATGAACAACATATTCCAGAGCTGGGAGATAGAAACAATGTCACTGAAGACTTATATTTTGTGTGAAAAAGAAAAGAAAATTATTATTTTTCACGTTTTTAAAAACTAACCAGAAAGTCTCAGTAAACTGAGTTTGTAGAAAGTGGTGAAATTGTAATGCAGGAATTATTAGCATTACTAATTAGCACAACTAATAGCTTATTAGTAGCCTGTTAGCATTGCTAATTGTTTTTTAATCTTGTTACTAGCATTACTAATGACTAATTGCTGTATGCTAGAACATCACTAGCATTATCTACAAGCTAGTCCTCATTTGTGCTATTCATTAGCATTTATGCTAATGAGTAGCATTAGCATAAAGCAGTTGTAACTATTAATAGTTACCATTCATGCTAATGCACAAATAGCTGTACTAATATGCACCAATTTTGCTAACAACTAGTTGCCATTGCTAACAGCTAACTGCAGCACATTGCTCATTGAAATAAAAATTACATAATGATGGTGAAAAAACTTAATTCACACAGAATATTTGACACACTTACAGAAATGTATTGGATACTTTGTGAAAAAGTTGTTTTTTTTTAGCAAAGAAACTTCCAGACAACCACTCTAACACTCCTCCGACTCGTGTATGGAACACCAAGAAGGCCAAAAACGTCTTACATTTACAAACTTAAAGAGTTTGTAAATTAACCATTCAGCCAATCACAGACAGATTTTACTCCTCCAAATTGAGTATTTCTTGAATGAAAAACAACTAATAAATACTAGTAGATCAATATAGTGTATCAATGTGGCAGAAATTCAAAACAAAATGACAGAATTAAAGAAAAACGCAAGAAAACATAATCAATTTGAATTTTATAGTGTGAGAATGTGCCGTTATGCTTACAAATATGCTTACTTTGTGCTGTCCAGTTAATATTCCTACATTTAGTTTCTACATATTAGTTATACATATATGTACATTGAAGAAAGAAGTTTAATTTTTTAGTCCTTATCAAGCTGAAAGTGGTGATTTGATTTACTTTAAGACTAATCTGCAGAATTTCATTTAATGATGACTCTGCCGTACTCTGCATTAGTTTTTGTCCATATTTTGTGATGGCAGTGATAAATGTTTGCTTGGTTGTTTCAGTTTCCGTCATCAGTGTGGCGGAGTGGCTCATCTCAGAGGTACCAGCAGGAGGCAACATCGGTTTTGACCCCTTCCTTTTCTCCCTCAGTGAGTTTTCACCCTATTTACCTCAGCTGTTAGTCCGTTTTAACAGCAATAAAGCACCAAGTAGATGGAAAATATTGAAAGGGACCCCAGACCAGACGCCATCCGGACTGTTTACTTGAGATTGATTCTGTTTAATGGCCGTATTTTCCTGCAATTTGCTCCATTAGAGACACAGGAGAACTATGCCATGAGTCTGGAGTCCAGCAATCGAATCCTAAAGTCCATTCCTGTCAACCTGGTCGACCAGGTGTGGAAAGACAGACCTCAAGCCCCAGCAGACAGCCTCACCCGTCTGCCTGATAGAGTCATACGTAAGTCTTCAAGCAGCCATAAAGTCTGTGTTTGTGTTTTCTACGGTTGTCTGGCAGATCGAACACTAACTCAGAAGGACTGAAGAAGCCAGGAAGTTGTCTCAGTGTTGGTCTTATTAGGCTTTATGGCTGCAGATTAGAAAAATGGACCAAATGGAGGGCACCATAAACCTAATGGTCTGTACATTTAACTGGAACAATCATTCTTTCCATGGCTTTAAGAGCATGCACAGAATGATGCATGCTCTTTCTTATCCTGACAGTCGGGATAAGAAAGGTGGCTCTTATATTCTTGGCAGACTGGATGGAGTCCATTAAGTAATGAAGAACAAGAAGATGACTTGAATGTCAAACAAGCAGGGAGGAACAAAAACGCACAAATGTGTTTTTATTCTCAGAAGATAAACTACATTTACAGGAAAATATATTTAGATTGATTCAATTAAAAACCGTTGACCCAACTGAGCCAGTTTTCTTCATCGTTAGCAGTGTTTTCTTTTTCCAAAACTCTATTTAGTTTTTAACAAATGGTAAAATCATGAAACTATTATAATATTATACCGATAAAAGAAACTGTATAACCTTCTTTATAACAAAAGCATGAATTCAAAAAGCAGAAAAGCAGCCTCCACTAACAGTAAGGTAACATAAAGAGCAAAACAACCCACCAATTTTTAAATAAAATTATATTTAAACATTTCTGACAGCAACAGAAAAAAGGGAGGGGGAGTTGTCAGTTACTGGTTGCTATGGTAACCACCAACTGTCAAGAGCAATCTGGCAAAACTTAATACACAAATTCACTTCAGAAAGGAGAAAAATATTGGTAAGCAAGTAAGTAATAATAATAATAATAATAATAATAATTGCAGCTAAGTTGTTATAGAGTGAATGTTAGTTGTAGTTTTTAACACAAGTGTGTGTAAATTACTCAAAGGAGACGTGAAGTGACGTCCTGATTTTCTCAAGTTTCAGAAAGTAAAGAATCCCTGAGCAGATTGGGGTTGAGATTATTTTATCATTTGACACAGAATGAATCATACTGCTTCAGGGTTTTCACATTTTCAATATATTTCAGTGGGATTACCTGAAAATATCACCTGAAAACAAAAGTGTGGCATGAATGTGCAGTTACAGCATTATGTTGGATTTGTCTACCAGCAGTAGAGAGTTTCACTTTGCAAAACTCAATCAAACTCTTTTTTTCGTTCATTAATTTTAAGTTTTACCAAAGATTCTTGGTTTGATTTAGGTTTAGACTTTGACTGGTCCAATTTCAAGGTGTTAAGTTACAAAGTAAAATTTAATTTAAGTCATATAACAACTGAAGGTAACATAGTAACTTGATTGTGGTATAAAATGGCTGAAAAACACGTATTACTGCCCCTTTAATGTAAAATGTTTGGTCTCTCAGAAAGGACTTGGCAGGATAAGGTGGAGCAGATACGGAGTCTGATGAGGACCAATCCATACCAACCCACAGCTCTTCTGCTCTCAGCTCTGGATGAAACAGCATGTGAGCAAAAACTGGTGCTTTTTAAACTAATAAATCATAATAACAGTTTGGAAAGAAATTAAAGTCAGTGATGATGTTCGTTTTTGTTTTTCAGGGCTCTTTAATTTACGTGGAAACGACATTCCCTACAATCCTTTCTTCTACTCCTACACACTTCTAACTTTAGATGAGATCTGGTCAGTCACTCACTGTTTATATCTATTTATTGAACAACTAACTATTTATAGACACGTTGCTGCGTGATGTCACGAGATCCCCAGCTTTCTGCTTTAGGCCATGACTAGCATTGGTTTCAGCTGTCAAGTTATCAACATAACACACTAAATCTTCAATATACGGCTGATACATAAAAATAAAAGGGACGCAGTGCTTTGCTGCTAGTTGTCGACACTGTCACAGCTAAATAAAGCTTTAATTAAAAATAGCAAGGGAGAAGGAAGTAGTTCAGTTATGCTAACATGTAGATGTGCTGCAGGATTCAATGTTTTGGTTAAAAAAATCAAAAAAGGCGACCTAAACACCAACTCTGACATCATTAGATTGAGTTTAAAGTAGCTAATCAGTCACAGCTGTGTTATGTTAGCTATAGCAGCGGTAGCTAATCTGCCACAGCGATCACTTATCAATAATCACAAAATACACATCAAGACTAAAAACACAAAACTGTAACGGACTGAATGTTCTGTTCTTTATGTAGGAAATGTTTGACTGTTTTTTGGTGTTGAATCCTGACACATTAGCGGGGTTGTTGTTAGTTAAATAATACCAACATCTCTAGGTTTCATTTAGTTAACTGAGTTGTTTTACTGCAGCATTGCGGCTTCGGATGGGATAGAATCACCTTTTTACCCTTCAGCGTTGTGCACATGCGTGAAATTTCTGCATTTAAACAATAACATGCATATTTTTCAAGCAATTCCACCACTGACCCAACAAAATGCCCTGCATATGAGCATGTTGCTGTTTGTCCTCCTGCAGGCTGTTTGTCCACACAAACAGAGTGACTGAGGAGCTGAAGGCGTACCTGAGCGCGTCCTGTAACGGATCCCTCTGCGTGCAGCTGAAAAGTTACGACTCTGTTCGTCAGGATCTGATGGCCTATGTCGCTCAGTCCGACGTTAAAGTGTGGATTGGTACAGAATACACAAACTACGCTCTTTATGAGCTCATAACACCTCAGGTATGCAGATCATTTCAAAAGGTTCCGCTCATTTGAAGGAAATGTTTTATATTAATGACTGTTTGTTTGTCTAATATAGGAGAAACTAATTACATCCTCCTACTCTCCTGTGTTGACAACTAAAGCTGTGAAAGACGAGACTGAGGAACGAATACTGAGGGAAGCTCATGTACGTCCCAAACGCAGACAGATTCATATTTACCACCTGAAAAAAACAAACCCAAACTTTTACCTTTTTCCTTTTACTTTTGTTCAGGTGAGGGATGCGGTTGCTGTCATCCAGCTGCTGATGTGGCTGGAAAAGGTCGTCCCAGCGGGGAACGTGACCGAGCTGAGAGCTGCAGAATATGTAAACCACTGTCGCAGGTGAGTCAGCAAACTGACTTACAATCAGATGTTTACAGAAGAAGAGTCTTAGCTTAAACCAACGTAAACTTTTCAATTACGTTCAGTTTATTATATAGCTCCAATCCACAGCAAATGTTATCTTTATTCTCTTAATACAAAGATGTTTCAATTTAAAGAAGAACTATTATGGAAAATTTGCGTTTAGCTCATTTGTGTACTTCCATTTGAGTCTGAACTGCTTCTCAAAACAGCCCAACAGCTTCAGACATCAGTTAATGTTTTTTGGTATCTGGAAAATGAGCTGTTAGATAGTTAAGTCACATTTCATGCAACCACAGTGAAGCTCCAGTATGTTTGATCAGCTGGTTTTACGCGCTGTACAATGGCTGCTGGGGGAAAAAAGTGTTTTGTTTCCGACTTACCATCCAGAAACCAATTACTCCATTGTTGTTGGTTGTGCAGGAGGCTCTACTTCTGCTCTTCAAAGATGTATGGCTGTATAATTGCGCATCTGTTTGCAGCCATTTTCACCTGAGTTTAAGTTGGCCAGCAGCTGATTATTTAAATTTAAAGTAACAAGAAGCCCTAAAACATCTTTCTGAAAGAAAATCAACAGAACAGACGAAAATCTCATTATCTAAGAATGATTTTGTGCAAATATGTAATGAACATGTTTTGCATCGCCCATAGATTTATCCTAACGTCTTCAAGGAAACATAATAGGTCTCCTTTTAATCACACAGACATCCACATTAATCCTATCATTAGTACTTTCTATCTTCACAAAAGCATCACAGCCAAACTGAATGCCAGATTATATGTAGTTTATATGGAGATGAAAATAATAATTGGATAAAACATAAAACTAACAGTTGAAATAACAGCAAATAATACAAGCTGGAGAGTAGTAGGAGAAGAAAGGAAGTGAGTAAAAGTAGTCAGTTTGTCTTTTAGCTCACAGAATGAGGCCTGAAGGAGGTTTAATCAGGATTTCCATAATTATTTCCTTTTGCTAAATAACAAGATATTGTATATGAAAAGCTTTCTCATTATTCTGATTTAACACACTGAAATAAAATGTTTTTAACCAAAACAGAAAAGTTCAGTCTGATTTAATGTCAAACAGAAAAGAAGGAAGTATTCTTACATGTTTGTATATATAAACGCCTTGTTTGAACTGTGAATTCACAACTTTACTCTGCAGTATTAATAAAGTATTTATAAAACTTTGGAGTCACAGCTGATATAAACGTTGCAGCAAACAGAAGGACAACCGAGGCCCGAGCTTTGAGACGATCTCTGCAAGCGGACCGAACGCTGCTCTGGCCCACTACAGGTGAGACGAACTCACGTCTTCTTCTTTTTTAACGAGGCCTTTCTTCTTAAAATGCTCAAAGTTTTTATGACGAGACAGTTTTGGATGTCAAAAAACAATTTATTTTTTAAATAGGGAGAAAACATTAAAAACTCGTAGTGGAGATTTATTTTCTGATACGTAGCAATATCACCCTCAAAACACTTAAATATAAGTCAAGGAATAGTTGATTAATCAGAGAAAAAACATTCAGCATATTTTTCATTTAGCCTCTTTTAGCAGCCACTAGCATCTACAACAACTATTTGAAGAGTTTTAATTGATATGAGTAACAACATATATTGAATACAATATTAGAAATACACTAAAAGATGCAAATAAATTTTCAATTCCCTTTTAAATAAGAAAAAAAAAATTCAGTTAGTAAAATTCAATAAAATAGTATTGTTTAAGTGAATGCTTGATCATTTGTAGCAAATGATGCGTCTGCAATAATTCATATAAGTAACAAAAAATAACAAAATCAGGCAAAATAAAATTTTCCCTAATCAGTTTCTTTTAATATAAAATTATAAAACTTAGACTAAAACTGCAGGTCTGTGTCTCTGTGTCTGGTGAATTTCTGGTTAAAACATGTTTTTTTTTTTCTTCAGTGGGTAGAAAATCCAGAAATTTTACTCAATTAAGAGTAGAAATACTTCATAATAAAGTTACTCAAGTAAAAGTACAACGCAGTAAAAATACTCCTAAAAGTATTTTTGTTTTTCAAAAACATTACTCAAGTAAATGTAACTAATTTCTACTCAGCTCTGTTAATGCTGCTATGACTGTGTTGTTTCACCAAATAGGATGTTTTTTTTTCTGTAAATATGTAAATCCTTTTACTTCAACTTCACAAATATGGACTACTATCACATAAATACTACTAAAATATATTTCCAGTTTGTGGTTACAATGTGACAAAAAGGGGAAAGTATGCAGCTGGTCTTATGAGAACCTCTTACAGTTTTTAGTTGACGACTGATTTTACACTTTACATTGTTTGAGTAACTTCACCATGTACAGCTTGTCTCAGTAATAGTCAAACATTTCGTCTCGCAGCTAAATTTACCTTTTCTGTTAAACCACCTGAAAGTATAACGGACAAACAACCAACTGCTCTGATGTCAGAAAACAATTAAAAAGAAAAATTCTTAGTTTAAACGTTTTTAGAACTCAATGCAGGTGTGAACGAGTAGGAGTTTCTAGAGAAAACAACCATCCCTGATGCATTTTCCTTTCTTACTAAAAGCCGTTTTTAAAAACATTTCTATAGTATTTTAACAGTAAACACAGTCGTATATTTCAGCGGTATCAGTTCCTGTTTTGTTTTTCAGCCCGTCAGAAGGAACCAGCAGGAGGCTGACGGTTGAGGAGATGTTCTTGGTTGACTCCGGCGGTCAGTATCTGTGAGTAAATCCGCTCTCCTCCAGTTTCACTTCACGTCTCGTGAGCAGAAAATGAGTCACGGCGTTTCTCACTACTCTCAGAGACGGGACCACTGACATCACCCGTACGGTTCACTGGGGGACGCCCACAGACATGCAGAAGGTGACATTTACATTAAATAGCCTCTTATTGCACTAAAAAAAATGAAACATTGACTTAACATATTTTTTCTTTTCAATGAGTTCCATGTTATTCTACAAAATGAAGATTAGATACTCTTTTCATTTGCATAACTGACTTAATTTAATTATGTACACTGCAAAAACACAAAGTCTACCAAGTATTTTTGACTAGATTCAAGTGCACTTGCAAAAATACAAAAGTAACTTATAAGTAAGTTTTCAGCAAGATATAGGAGCTTATTTAAGTAAATAAATATTTAATATTGATGAAAAAGTACTATTTCCACTAGCAGATTATTTCACTTATAACAAGACATTCTTCCATTTTTATAAGTGAAACAATCCGACAATAGAACTAGTACTTTTAAACCAATATTAAAGAGTTATTGACTTAAAATATGCTCCTATAACTTGCTAAAAAGTTACTTATAAGTTATACTTGTCTTCAAGTTCACTAAGCTGTTTGCATTAGAAACTGGACAAAAATTTCTTGGTAAGATTTTGTGTTTTTGCAGTGCACATAATTGTATTTTGTTAGTTGAAAGCAAAAATGATCATCTGAGTTTATGACATTATGTTTAACTAAAATAAAATTAATGAATTAACTTCAGATTGAGAAAAAAGCTAAAAGAGAAGCTAACTGAACTAGCGGTACTTTTTGTCAGCTTGCTGTAGTATGCGTACATTCAGTGAACTTATTTAGCATTTTTTCACTCATAATGTACAAATTATGTCACTCTGACAACTAAAAATTTTAATTCAACTCATTTTTCTCTAATTAACTAAATTCAAATTTGTCAACAGTTTCCACTCAAATGAATAAAGTAGGCCAAGTGTAATTTTTTTGTCTTTGTCTTTGAAACGTGTTCTTCCTCTGACAGGAGGCGTTCACTCGAGTTCTCATGGGAAATATTGAAATATCTCAAACTGTTTTTCCATCAGGCACAAGCGGTGAGTGGGAAACTCTGGATTTGCCGTCCCTGAAATGTGTTTTTGTGTTGCCACTAGAGAGCTCTCTTCCTCCATCCACATCATGTTGAGGAGATTGTGGTCCTGCTTCTGCAGCAGGATGTTTGCTTTCTGCTCTGTAAGAGGCCTCTTGTGTCTCGACAGGGGTGCGCATAGAGATGCTGGGCCGCCGGGCTCTGTGGGAGGTGGGCCTGAACTACGGCCACGGCACCGGTCATGGAGTGGGGAACTACTTTGGAGTTCATGAGTGTAAGGTTTTCATTAGGATTTTTAAAGGTGACCTATTATGATTCCTTGAACAGGTTTGGTCTAAAGTCAATACAAAACACTTTCATAAATTTTTTGCATAAAATCATCCTTATAAATCATTCTTATAAATCATTCTGATAATGAGGTTTTAGTTTTTTCAGTTCTGCTTATTTTGATCTCCTTTCATAATGAGCTGCGTTTGGGCATCCTGTCGCTTTAAATCCAAACAAGCTGCTGGTTGCCACGGCCCCCGACTCAATGTTTGTGAAAATGACTTCAAACAGATGTGCTGTTATACAGCCGTACATCTTTGAAAAACAGAAGTGGAGCCTCCTGTACAACCAACTGTAATACAGACCACTACAAGAGATCTTTCCTGCCAACAGCCATCACTGCCCACACTGTTTGAAGACTTTGAATTAATGAGCTACAACATTTATTTTCCCTTTTCAATCAATAAAGTGTTTTTTAATTTTATTTGAATTGAACAAGAATTCAAAAAGTGGTTTCTGGATGTAGGCCAACAATAATACTCTTGTTTTCTTGTTGACTTACATTACACAGTGCGTACAGTGATAGAACCAGCTGAAACATGCTGGGGTTCAGCTTGGGTTGCTAGGTAACCGGGCTGGGCTGGGCTGTGGTTGCTAGGTATCGGTGCAGTGCCCGTGGAATACGACTAAACATTCGGAAGGTTTTTGAAATAGCTCGTTTTCCAAACACCGAAAAACATTAACTTACTGCCTCAAAAAGGCAATAAGTTAATAAGTTTTCTTTTTTTTAATCCCCTGGCCTGTTTTTAGAAGCAGTAGAAACCCAAATGGAAGCACAAAAACATCTGAATAGGTTCCTTTTAAATACTTGTTGCCACAGAGAAACAGAAACACTAATATATATTTAAATAAATCTAATTTGATTACCAAATCTCAGAGAGTTTGCATTAAGTTGAGTAGCTGGGGGTTTAGTTGAGCATTACAAAACTTGGCAAACAACGCGCATGTGAGCAAACATTTCATTTTGCAATTCAACCACTTGTGATGTGGTTTACATCACTCGATGCCCACATCAGCTGAAGCAAATACGCCACAGTGTGACGGAAACAAAGGAGAGTATAAAAGTGCTGTGACAAAGTATTTACCTCCCCTGCCCCAGAAATTTCCTCTGCTTTTGCTTCATTTGTTCCTGGTAAATATTTTAGATAATTAAATAAATTATATTATAATACAAAGATAACCAGAGTAAATAAAAATGTAGAAGTCTTTGGTGAAAAAAGCTATTTAACCCAACTTGGTCCTATGTGGAAAAAATGCATAAAATGTAGTGATGATTATTCTGTCACAGACAGAGTGGAGAAAGACTAAGCAGCTGTCCTGTTTGTTTCTCTAACTAAAATAAGAAAACCCTAAAACTGCTCCAAGCAGAGCCTTTTCAGAAGGAGTGATCTTTTTTCTGTCTTATTTCAGTCACTGCTTAGAGAAACAATTTATTCAGACTGCAGGAAAATATACCAGGATGTTTAAAAAAGTCTTATTCAGGTTCTGTTAAGGAAACAGAATGACAGTGTTGTCATACCAGATGTGTTTGTAGGTTTGCTTTCGTTGTTTTTCCTGCTTTCTGTAATATTTTATGTTTTATTCTGACGTGTTTCCAGGGCCGGTTGGATTTCAGAGCAACAACATTCCCTTCAAAGCTGGCATGTTCACGTCTATTGGTGAGCTCTTTGTAAATTCATCAACCTCTCAGGATGAATCAGTTTGTTTGTGGACTCCAGTGAACTTAACTAAAATCACTTCATAAAGTATAAACATGTCTGAAAATAGGGAGGTTCAAGGAACATTTTATTACCAAAGATAATCTGATTACGTGCAAAACTAGACGGCTGATAAATGAACGAATTAGCACGTACACTGCAAAAACACAAAATCTTACCAACTAAATTTGTTCTAATTTCTAGTTCAAATATCTTAGTGTACGTAAGATAAGACAAACCTAATCTAACAGAGACTTTTTAGCAAGTTTTTAAGTAAATAATTCCTTAATATTTATTTAAAAAGCACTATTCCACCAGAAGATTAATATACTTAGTAACAAGATATTTTTTTGAAGTTGCAAGTTAAATAATCTGCCAGTGGAAGTAGTGCTTTTTCATGAATATTAAGGAATTAATGACATAAAATAATCTCCTGTTTCTTGCTGAAAAGTTATTTGGACTGATTTCAAGTGTTGTAAGATATTTGCACTAGAAACTAAACAAAAATTAGTTGGTAATATTTTGTGCTTTTGCAATGTGGCTAAAATGCAAAGCCAGAAAATACCTCTAAGTGATTAAACACTTTTTTATATGTATATAAATCTATTTCTGTTTCCATTTTGGTTGCAGAACCTGGATATTACAAGGAAAATGACTTTGGCATTCGGATTGAAGACATCGCTGTGACCGTTCCAGTTCATACGAAGGTAGAGAGCAAACAGAAAGCATCATCGGTAAAATGTTTCTCACAGTAATTTTATCACTAATGCACCTTTCTGTCTCTCAGTTTGGGCACAACTTCCTGACATTTGACACTGTGTCTCTGGTCCCATACGACAGAAAACTCATTGACACTTCACTCCTCAGTGCAAAACAGGTGAGGAATCTTTTGCAGAAGCGATCTCTCAATTACAAAACACCAGGCAGATGCAGATTCATGAACTATAACGCGCTGCCATCAGCTTCCTGTTTTAATTTGTAAATACCTCTGGGATGTTCGATAGTGTGACACAGACCCTGTCTTCCCCCTTCCTGCAACATTGGTTCTTGCTTCCTCCTAAAATCCCCTCTTACTCTTGTGGTTGAAGCGTCTCTGCAGCTCTGAGATCAAAACAACGCAAAAGAAAACAAAACCACGTGTGAAGCAAACTTCTATGTTTTTGTTTCTTTTTTTAAAGATATTTTAACGTATTGTTTTAACTGATTTATGTTTTTACAGAAATATCAGATATCTTAAATCCCATCTTTTAGTTTTTCTTAAATGTATTTTAAAACTTTAAAAACATTTTATCACAAGTACTAATAAATAAATCATAACGGCCAATTAGTGCCTTTAAATATTTCAGCATACCCAATGAAAAGTTCACTTTTTAACTTCACTCTGCATTCAGTGCCACAATTAGATCAAACGTGTCAAATTTTTAACTCAAATAGAGAGAGAAGTCTTCAATCAGGGTTGTGATGAGTAGTGAAGAGTCGTGAGTATCTTACCTGCAGTATGACCGTAGTTTGAGTGCCAGTTTTAGGAATCTCTAAAACTAGTTCGGGGGTGTCCAAAGTGTGGGCCTCTTTAATTGAACTCTAGTTTGTTTTCTTAGAAAGTATGGTTCATTAGGGGAGATGTGAATGTGCCTTCAAACTCCAATTCGGACCAAAAAAGCGAATCCAGCTCTGCCTACAAATCCAGGTCTCGGTTTGTTTAACGGGGCAGTGTTATGTAAAACCAACTTTTTTAAGCTTCATATCATGTTATAATGTTATTCCCTCATCAAAAATATACCTAGAGTCTTGCTTTTATTCTTTTATGAATGTTTGGGAAATCATTCAATCTATATGTCAACCATTCAGCTCAGCAAAAAGCCTGGTTGGACTAAGCTCCGCCTTCAAAACACAGCTCCTTCTCAGAGCTATAGTTTTCAAGGGTCTGAGCTTTCGTCTCACAGAGGAGCCCTCCCCCCTCAGCTCCTTCAGACTAGCCAGCAGCAATTAGCAAATATCTGATGGAACTGCACATCTGCTGAGCAACTTCTCGGTGAAATGCTGTTAAAAATGTGATGACTTCCTGAAGGCAGATTTTCAGAAAGAGCAGGAGTTTTTAAAGAGACAGAGGCCCAATTTCAGAGGCTTCATTGTGCTATAATGGCACCATGTGCCTGAGAAATTAAAAAGTGAACTCTTGTGCAGCTTGAATGCATATGTAAATGCCAACTGGACCAGAGCAGAGCAGTGCATTCTGGGTAAATACAACCAAAACAAACTCAAGAGTCTAGTGCTAGCGGGAGAAATGTCTCTTGGTCTTTTACTAAAGATAAGAGAAACCCTAAAACCGCTAAAATCCGACGCCGTTCCATTTTTGTTTACATTTTGTGAAGAAGGAGGTTTCCATCAGTGTCTTCTTCAGAGACTGTCATGTTGTTTCCTTCAGTAGTTTTTGGTGCAGCGCCACAACAGGTAAGATGGGGAGCAGGTTTTTCAAAAGATTTGGTGCAGTGCAGTGTGAAAGCAAACTGCACCAGCTGAAAATGTAACAGTTTTGGTTCCAATCGAACCGAGTCCACCGGACTATCTGGAGTGGAAACACCTTTAATAATATATGTGTGTATTTCCATCTCCAGCTGCAGTGGCTGAATAATTACTATGAGATGATTCGTCGGCTGGTGGGCCCTGAGCTGGACAAGCAGGGGCTGCAGGAGGAGAAGGACTGGATGCTGAGAAACACCCAGCCTTTCACCGAGGCTGGATCCTCCGCCTCCGTCTGTTCCTCCTCCCTGACGCTCATCGCTCTGGTTTTCGCCCTGCTCCACATCATCTGAGCGTCTCCTCCCACCGCACTCCTCAGCAGACTTGCACTCAAAAGTTATCCCTATGCAGTCTCTACCGAGCAGCTACACCAGGTTGACAGATGCACAGAAATTTATAATTTTTTTAAATTTTAAATTGTAAAATATATTTAATAATTTAAAATATGTGAGCAAATATATTATCTTTTGTGTTTTTTAATATTTAAAATTATATTTTGTGATTTTCTTTTTTCTTTTTTGATGTTATAGTTTGAGGTTTTAAACTGGGCATTTGTATGACCAGCTAATATAATGTATATTTTAATAAAGTGTCACACTTTGAAACGACGACGACTGATAAAGTTGTTCCTGATTGTTTAACCGGTACATAGTTATCATGTAACATTACATTTCCATGAACTTTGAAACTGACAGCCATGTTAGCAGGCAGTTGCTATGGAGTTGCTATGACAACAAAGCCAAGTTAAGAACTACATCTAGCTTTGTTTCTATCTAACTTATAAATAATATAAGTACATCACAATTATTAATCAATTACAATTTTTGAGTACTCTACCCACCTCTTTGTAATATTAAGATAAATGTCAGTGATATTTACAGTAGTACTTACTGCCAAACTAGCAAAATTAGCTTAGCTAATGTAGCTTTTATCTGCTAGCAAAGACGGGCATGTAGCCTACATGTTTGTTGCTGCATGTACTCACTCTGCCAGTCACCAGAACCTTGTTATTCACACAAAGAGTTCGTACATCCTTTACAAATCCCTTTAAAAATTGATTTTATTGATGGTTGAATCTTGTGGAGTAAACTCGCTGCTGTTCTATTGGTAAAAATGGGTGCATCAAATTTGAATGGTACTAGTACATTTTGGATGATTAGACTGGGATTTTGATATTTTATATTTGGATATCAGCCCCAGATCTTTGAGGTTGGAAGCCCTCTTTGCCATTTGCCTAATCTTTAATATCCACCATTTTGATTTTTGCTGCTGTTCTTTTGTATCAGATTCTAGATGGGGTAAATAGTACTTCAGAAGGAACATGCTGACTAAATCAAAGCTTAGGTTTGAACCTAAATTCTCAAGAAACAACAATCATTTGTCTGGAAAGTTAACAATTAGATTTTTGGTAAATGTTTAGTATGAGATTATGTTTAGTCATAATTAAATTACCTTCAAAAGATTGTTATAGTGTCTAATCTTTCTGCCACATTTTTAAAACAAATGTGTCATATTAAAATGATTTAAATATAATCATAAGTGTTATTAGGTTTTATCAGAATGTGCTTGATAACACTGTAAGTTACCTACCCTGACTATAAGAAAAGTAAATAAGTTCCTTTCACCAAGCTTTTTCATTTCCTCTCAATGCCACAAAATCCTCTTTTTCAGCTGACCACATTGTACACAGCTTATGTTTCAATATGTTTCACCCAACAGAAATTACGTTTTTCTTTCAGTTTTTTTTTTATTTATTTATTCCTGGCGTCAATGAATTGATTTTTGGTTCACAGTATATTTCTTCAAATTTAATAATTATGCCTTTAGCTTGCGAAGCTCTAATCGGCTCATTTCCTGGAACTCGTCCTGCATCTTAAAGTAAGTGTGCAACACCTCCCACCCTGCCTTAACACACTAAGCGTGAGTATAAAAACCTTTAAAACTGCCGTGGACAGCTCTTAAAAGAGGTTGCCTATGCATTTTCTATTTTTTCCATTATTTGTAAAGGAGGAAAAAAGGAACTACTAGCATGAGATGATTCTTTTCTATAAATAAAAGATTCTTCTGATCATGCACTTGTCTTGTGTCCATTTACCATGTGTCCTCTGTAAAAGTTAAGATAACATTTTTAAGTTTTAAAAATGTTATCTCACATTTTGGTATGCCTGTATTTAAAAAAGATCTAAATACACCTTTATGCTCAAAGAAAAATGATAGAAGGAGATTAAAACTTGTCAAAGTTGAATTTCTAAATGAACCAAACTGCTTTCTATTTAGTGTCGTCTGTAAAGCTACAGTCGAAAATTAACAGCAATAATTTAGGGTACTTAGCCTCTCCTCATTCAAAAAAATAGGAGTTCATTTTTCTAAGTCACATTTTCACCATGATATTCATTTATTAATATGTCACAGTTTCAAGCCCAGTGTTTAATTAGTAAAACTTAGAGTACAAACCTAGCAATATCTAGCTCAGAACTAAATATTTAGCTAATATGCTAACTTGCCGATAACAGGAAGTGGACAACCAAAATAAGAGCTGGGTCTTTTCTTCACTTCCGTTGTTGCTCAATATGTACAACATTTCAGCTTAACCTGAGATGACCCATTTTAATGGAAATACAAATGAAACAGCCAGAGTAACTGTACCGACCCAGCTATTATTTTTGAAAGTCCACTTCCGGTTATCGCATGTTAGCTAAATATTTAGCTCTGAGCTAAATATTTTACTGTAAGCTAAAAAAAATTGCCTGGTAAAATAACCAACTGGCTAAATAACCGAAATAACCTGCAGTTAATTTTTGACTGTAACTTTACAAACTTAAATCCACATATTTTATGTATTTAATGACTAAGTTAACACCTGTTTACCCCTGTCTTTATGGGTCACACTAAATGAGGCTTAGAGGGCCTTTCCCCCCTAAATCCTGTCTGTGTGATTTTTAATATTGGGAAGCCAGACCAATAGAAAATTAGTGGCAGATCTCGAAAATAGCCATTCCCTGTATGTAAAGAAGAATGGAGTAAAACTGCAGCATCCAGATGAGCAGCTAGATCTCCATGTTGCAGTAAAAGATGCATCAACCGAATAATATCGCGAAGAGGGTGAGTATTCACGCAAAAAAATCAACCAACCTTTTTTAAAACCAGGGTTATCATCAAAAACAATGCATATATTTATGTTGTATATATAATTATACTGTATATTTAATTGTCTGGGCAGCTCTGGAGTCTGAATGTGGAAAGCAAAAGAGAAACTTCACTTTGCAAAAGCACAAAATCTTTGTTCTGGTTTCTAGTGCAAATATCTTGAAATATAATAACAGCTTGTTTTAAGTCAATAATTCCTTAATATTGATGAAAAGCACTGGTTCCACTGGCATATTGTTTCACTTATAACTTGGAAAAATGCCTTTTTATAAAACTCTGCTAGTGGAACTAGTACTTTTTCATCAATATTAAGTAATTACTTACTTAAAACAAGCTGTTATATATTACTGAAAAGTTACCTGTAAGCTAGTTTCATCTTATTTTCAGTGTACTAAGATATTTGTACTAGAAATTAGACTAAAACACTAGGTAGGAGTTTGTGTTTTTGCAGTGCACTCAGGTGTAACTAGTTGATTTTTAGCTGCATCATTGTTTACATCTAGATTATAAACAAAATTAGGTCACAGCGTTTGAGGAAATGTTGTTCCACAGCACAACTGGTGGCCAAACGTTTACGACATTTATTAATAATTTATGTTTAAATACTTTTACATCTGATATATTGAGTAATTTTTCATAACAAGACATTTTTGTTTGTTTGCTTTACATTTTGTCTGTCATTCCTTTGAGGCTCCACATGGTGAATTTATCACGGTATGGCCACTCAGCTGCTGGTTGTTGTTTTCATACCTTTGTGATCATAAAGACAGATGAGTTTGGCTGCCAACCTGCAGTCAAGTGACAGGAAACTCAAGCAGGGCATTCTCTACTCATGTGGTTTTCACACCACTGAAATAACAAGCTGAAGTTGCCTTGCACTGAACTTCCTTCTCTGCACTCGCTGCCTGATCGTGTTTTTGCCTCCCTGTCCTGCAGCTTGACTGTATGTTTTTAAAAAGAGTGCAGACATTTTTCTGAGTCACTCCTGTATTTTTGTCCAACGGCCGTCTCTTCTGGAACTTGTGACTGACGTTGCAACAAATTTGTCTCATAAGTTATTAGCTGCATGAACATTTGCTGCTGCGATTGTCCTGGCTTGGAGAATTTTGTAGCCTCAGTGGTTGGCAGCTGCAGAGCCGTTGCAGTTTCCAAATATGTCATCCTTGATCATCTTTCACTTCCACACTTTACATGTGCTCACTATGAATACATTTGGACATGTTGACTGTAAAACTTTTGACCTGAAACTATCATTTAGTCTAAATAAACAGGTGGAATTTTTTATTTATTTAAATTAATACATGACCTTCAGAACAAAGTCATGGCGCTTTTATTCAACTGATTTTGAGCAACTTGCATTTGAAAAATTTCTTTGAATCTTTTCACACTTCAAAACACTTTACTCTAGTTTCTAATGCAAATGTCTCAGCACACTTAAATAAGACACAACTAACTTACAAGTATTTTGGTAGCAAGATATATGAGCTTCTATTAAGTCAATAATTTCTTAATATTGATTAAAAAATACTAGTTCAATTGGCAGATTATTCAACTTATAACAAGAATTATTTCCCATGTTATAATATTTTATAATCTGCCAGTGGAACTAAAACTTTTTCATCAATATTAAGTAATTACTTACTTAAAACAAGCTCACATAACTTGCTAAAAAGTTACATGTGTGTTAGTTTTCTCTTATTTCAAGTGTACCAAGGTATTTGTACTAGAAGCTAGACAAAAACTCTTGGTAGGATTTTGTGTTTTTGCAGACCAGAACTTGCCATAATGGTGCCTGAGAGCTGTTGAGTATATAAGTTCACTTTTTTCAAGGAAGCTAATGGCACGCAATCATGAGTAATGCGTGTAACCAACCCAGTAGCTCTGTTGAGGTTCTGAGCAGCAGAAACAGGGTTTGCCTTTTTAGTTTCATTGCACCCATGTGACTTCCTGACTTGTTCACTTCACTCTTTTGCAGCAGAGTGCACCTCAGCCCTCTTCTCTTCCTCCTCACCTCGCTCCGGATCGCGGCAGTGCAGTGACAGACGTTAGGTGATTAAACTCTGCAGCCTTCTCGCAGCTTTTCTTGTCCAGAGAGAAAAGTGGAAGAAGATGCTGAGGCGAAGGCCATCGAACGCCTCAGAGAAGGAGCAGACGCAGAAGAAGAAGGTGAGTTTCTGCTTCTGACTTTGCTTTGGGAAACCAACAGGTTGGTGTGTATAAAACTGAGCTTCATCGTTTTACCGTTTTGTAGTAAAACTCCGGTGAACGCCTGACACTCTGCTGGTTTTGTCTAAGTCTTTTAAACACAGGATGTCAGCTCAACTTAGTGCAGAGCTCTGCGGTCAACCTGAAACCCCCACAAACGCAGAACTTTAAAAACCTCTCACATATTTAACTAGTTTAGGTCCTTTTGTGTATTTCCTAACTACCTGCTGCAGCTTATGCTTTGTGAGTACCTCCATTCTGGCCTG